CAGAGGCAGCTGAAGATTAAATTTTCCTGTTTGCAATGGATTTTATACAAGAGATGTAGACTCAGCCTTAAAAACAATGTTCCTCTTCATAGAGCAGCTATAAAACCCGATGTAAAGGTATGGAATCCAACTATGGGGCACATCCAACCGAAAATGCCCCATGGTTAATTCATAATGAAAATATGCAAGAAGCGATTGAAATCGTAACACAAAAGTACGTAGCAAATCCGCACAATTCTTCGACTCACACCTCCGAATCAAATAAAACTCGTCTTCTAAAGGGCAACACTGAGCAAGCTGCCCATTCCTTGCTAATTGACTATCACGTTTTAATTTTAAATAAATATAAATGTCTATGAAAGTGCTAATGGAATGAGCGATATAATTTTCGATCTTTTATGAACTATTCGCAAGCCGAAAGGATTTAAGGAAAACCAGTGGATATAAAATATTGCTTTCTTTGAGAATCATAATTCTGTTCCGACGTTGGTGAAATTCTTATCCTTTTTTAAAAGTAAAATTTTAATTTTATTATTCGTGCTTTTTTCCATGACTTTTTTAAGTTCTTTTCTTTTCTTTTCTTTTCTTTTCTTTTAATTTGTGTTATTTAAATATCTTTTATTTTAACATTCACCCGGATTCGTCTTCTTAATACGAGGGTTACCTCTTATAAACCGCGACTTCCCTAGTGCTACAATTTGGCAACTTTATCATCAAATCTGACATTTTTCATGCTACAAGCACTCAGAGTTTGAGCACTGAGTACATTGATTTGATGAGTCCACAGTACGGTCCTGACTTGCCGCCGAATGATTTCCTCTTATTCCTTGAAAAAACATTTGCTTTTATGTTCTAAGCCCGAAATATAAAAGGCAACCAGCCCTCGTATCCATATATGCATTTCGGATTATGTTTTCGTTTCGTTTCGGCTTAAATGGCATTTACTGGCAATTATCAACATATTACAGGCTCAATTAAGCTTGCCACATTGAATGAAAATGAAATGGAATAAAATCTCTTATGCACACGAACTCCTTCACACACACTTGCATACCGAAAATATGCAGATACGGTGGTGAGTTGTGTGCACCAGCACCGTTAACCGCCATCGGCATTGTTTAATTTATGAATGCAACATATTTGTGGCAATCGACAGTGGAGCAGCCCCTCCGGGCTCTGCGGCATAAATCGTTCAACCAATAACTGTTAATACCACATGATGCAAGTGAATGGAGTATATTTATTTTTTATTTTTGCTTCATTTCATTCCATTAGCATTTTGATTTCTTATTTGCCTTGGTGCCCTTAAATGATGGAGAAGGAAATCAGAGGCCGCAAGAGAATCTCTTAACTGGGCTATAATAAAATGTTATTCACACATTTGTGTTTGCTTATTATGATATTATGTAATGATATGCGCACATATATGACTGACCACGTGCTCCTGTGATCACATCTATCATACTCGTGTTTATATCTATGTACTGTGTTATCAAATTTCAAATTCATAAAACGTTCTTGTGGCCTCTCTCGCTTAAGTGGCTTGGCATTGAGTATTGGGTAATTTGTGTTTTGTGTGGTCAAGTGGAATGAAATCACAATAAATCTTCATTAGCATACAAATGGTAGTAAGAAGCATCATATTTATATATATATTTATATATATATATGTATATATATATATATACAAATGCTAATGGTCAAATATTTGTATGAGTTGCCACGGGCTAAACACGTTGCCCAGATTTGATTGCATCAAATATTCAAATAATTTGTATATTCGGTATGACATTCGACATTTGATGAGACTTCAGCAACTATTATTAGGAGCGTATTTGAATAATAATATTAATAGTTGCTTATGAGAAATGTCTGATTTGGATGGAGAGAAAGAGAAGCTTGCACTTAGATCGCCAAGAAAAGCTGCTAAATGGTGTGAAAGGCTACTAAAGTGCGCCAAATTATTGCGATGGAAAGAAAAATATTCAAAATAGGTCTTTAAGAGATTTAAATTAAATTAGGTGGAGTCTTGAAGGCTGTTTCTCCGATGAGTTAAAAAGGTAGTTTCACTTCAAAATTTTTTACACTAAACGTGGTTGCGCAGAAATGTTTGATCTTGCCCTTTATTAAATTTTCAACTTGGGTATTTTTTAATTATTTTTGGGAGTATCCTCAAGCCGTTATGAAATGGATTTGCTAGATAGGAAAGTAAATTGGAAAGAGTTAATAACTTTTGCTTTTTTCGATACTGAGACTTGTAGGTTTTTGAAACTCGTCTCGGTCATAGCGACATCCCAGAAAACTGTGGGGTCGATGAGCTGACCGGATAGGGAGAGCCATATGCTCGGTAAACTTTGCGATCCGTTATCGATTTATCGGAAATTTCCCTTTGCTTTGCTTAATATTGCTTGCACCATTAATCTCTTAAAGTTCGTAAAGTACAGCAAGTGGTTTGAGCATCTGGTATGTTCTACACAGAAACAACACAGGTATCATCACGAGATCAGGGATCTGTGATCGAGGAAGGAATATATTAAGCGACTAGATTGAATTCTGAAGTGTTTGGAAGTCTAATTGACTTGAAGGAATTTTAGCGTAATAATGAGATTTTTATAATTAATTTGCACTGCTCTGAAAAACCAGCAGTCTTTAAAACAATATTCTGTGTGCTGTCTATTTCCTTGAAGCATTTCTTAAATTGTGAATCTGATATGTATTCAAACGTAGATGAAGCAAATCCAGTCAGCCCCTAATCTTCTATGAATCAAACGAAGTTAAATGAAACATCCAATTTTGATCAATTCAAAAATTAGTATTTTTTTCTACTTTTTATTATATTTGTTTTATATTTTCTCTAAATATTAACGCGATAAGATTGTTTATAAAATGTTTTAAGCAAATGATTATCTGGCGATGACTTAATATATTGCAAACGTCTTGAGCGATGCTTAAGAAAGTTTTAAAATCCAATTATTTGGCTTCCTTTAGTTACTTGCACTGCGAAGTTAAGAGATATTCAAGACGAATTTCAGCTAAGGTCGAACAGAAACAGACAAGCTATGCTAACGTCGTACTCATGGCCTCCTCCCTTCACTTCCAAAATTTTTCACTACTACTTATGCCCATTCTGCTTGCATTGGATACCAGTAGGTTGCATTTCCTCATTAGGACAGAAACTCGCGAAGGAGCAAGCAAAAAATAGGTTTTCCCTTCTCTGCTTTTGCACTCTGATCCGGCACCCAGCTCTTTTGGAAATTCTACTTTAGATCGTTTTTAGCAACTTTTGAATATGGTTTGTTAGTATGGCAGATGGAACTTTTGGTAACCTCATTACTCTTAATGCGCTTAATGACCTGGAATTCAGTTTATATACAGCCGTTCACCCTTAGCTGTCTGTCTCATCAAAAAAAAAAAAAAAAAAAAAAATAAAAGAAATATATAATAAAAATTATTTTGAATATAACTCCATTGTTCATCAACTGAGGAATATATCTAAGAAAGATTTTGAATTTTTGCAGTCGTTTTCTTGAGCCACTTCTAAAAAGTCGAGTCGAATGTGAAAACATCGTTTCGTGACAAATGCGGTTAATGTTTTGATTTCTGGTGTTTCTCCGAATTTATTTTTTGAGTTTTTGAAAATTCAAAGAGCTTATAACTCCATCAAATGTGATAGTGAATCACAACAGAGTTATTCAATTACTTCTCTTTCTCCAGAAATCCGTATGAGGAACCATTTCTCTCATAATAAAACGGATTTGTAAGCATATCTCTCAAGCTATATTATGGAAGAACAAATCGTTGTTATGTATTTTCGTTTTCTAGATAAATTCTAAGTTGTTGTAATGTTTTATATAAATACTAAAAATTCACTAAGAAAACTTTTTGAGAAAATTATAAATATCTAAATAATCTATTTAGTAGCATTTCCTCGGGGCGTAAAAGCAACTTTTATAGAAAAAAAGTTACGTATACGCAGCGTTGTGTGCGAAATCCAAAAGTGCAGGAAATGAGAGCATTTCGTCAAAAGCCAGCCGCATTTCCACTTAAATTTCTAATGAAAATGAAAGCGCTCAACGAGGAACACCACACAGCTCGACGTTGTTGAACACTCAGGCAGTATTGCTTGGCACTCACGGTGGCAGACGGCGGAAATGAAAACAGTGCATTGTTCCCATTTTCACGGCCACAGGCTTGATTGTTATGAGCAGCCACAGGCACAAAGAAGTAAACATGAAAAGATTCGTTGACGAAAAAGTATGTACCGGCACGTGCCGTGAAAATGTGTGCAAATAAAATGCAAAAGCATTAAAACTTATTTTACTGCCATACAATACATATCACGGTAATGCCTGAAATGCCTGAAATGACTGGAATGCAAACGCAGTCAAAGTAAATGTTATAAAAATGGAGAGAAGGATGAAAGGAGAAAAGCGCAAAATTAAAAGTAAACATAATCACACAAAGGAGCATGAAGAAAATAATCTTTATTTAAATATACAAACTTATTCTATTATGCATATATAATATGCATGTACGTGTACGTACAAATGCGCTGAGCATATTCGCATTTTATACGCGCTAAAAAAAGTACAACGAAAACCAGAAATCTCAGCGCTTTTGCATTTTTAATAAGTTTTAAATAATTTTTCGCCTAATGGCTTTTGCGTGCGTATGGACGTCTGTCAGAGGCCCCTGAGCGATACAGTGCCAATGATTTTTTGCTATCGCAGCGGATGTTGTTGCTGATTTGCTGGCGGATACTACACTGGAGGGACTGTCAAGGGACGCGCTTGGGCGTTTAATTAGAATTTATGCGTCTACAAGGCTTTTACTATCCTCTGCAATTCCATTGGCAAAAATGTATCTGCTGACAACGCTTTTAATTAGTAAGTCCACACACAAGCACACAGACGATAGACCAACTTGATTTGCCTTTTACGTATTATTAAATACCTCTTTACCATTAGTTCGATTCAATTTTTGGTGCGAATGAAACTTACGGATTTTTACAGCATTTTGCCTACTGGATTTCCATCAGCTTTTCCGGTGTGAATTCCATGCCAACTCTGACCTTTGCTATAAACTCGTTGACCAGAAGCGTTTGTTACCCTAATGAAGCACTATTTGTATCATCTTTTCTTAATTTTCTACTTTTATATAAATTTCACTTTTTACGATTTTATTTTTCAGCTTAAGGGATTTACACTCATTGACTTAGTTAGCGAAAATTGTTGTACACGCGCAAAGCGGTGATAGCCTAAAAGGATAGCTTAAAGCAAAACGCAATTAGCTCGCTGAAAACGCTCAGCACCAGAATTACTTACGACGCGAATGCCTTGAAAATAGTCAGCACACAAAAAATAGATTACAGATGTAGTTTACAAAATTTCTTCCAAAACATTTTCAATAAACTTTTTTCATTTGCACACTAGGGAACGTCTCTCGATCGGCCAACACTTGTCTGCACAAAACATTCTATTTCAAAATTTATACTTTTCACTGACTTAATTAACATGTATTGTCTGCCTTCACTTGGCTTGGCTTGAGCATTCTGCTGCTTTGCATTCACTTCAAATTCATTTCACTTTTTTCTATTTCTATTTTCCACTTGACTCGATGTTGCCGACAAGTAGCGAACCGTCTCGTTCAAGCCCACATTCTAAACTGAACTGAATTGGTGCTGTGATTGTAGTAAAAAGTGCCACGGCGTCAGCCGAGCAGAGCTGAGCATCTGTAGCAGCGAGCAGCCAGCAGTGAGTTGGGGTTGAGAGCGCAGATGCAGAAGCTGTGATGCTGCCTCGTTTATTGTTGTTGTTGTCGCTGCTGCTGCTGCTGTTGTTGTTGTTGTAATTATTGTTGTAATTGCTGCATCCTTGGGCACAATATTGTTTGTCCACGTGGTGCCACTCGTTGCTGCTGGCGACGCTGCTGACGCTTTACTTGCCGGGACTGTGGACTTTAGCAGACGACACTACAGAGAGTACGCTAGTGGTGCTGCTGTTAAGCTCGCGCTGTAAAAAGTAATTCAAATTATTTTGTTTGTGCCTGCTTTAATGCGCCCTCGCTGTGTGCACAGATAACGGAACTGCCGGTGGGTGGCAAGAGAAAATATGAAAAATTCAAATATGGAAAATTGTGAGAACTAAACATTCCATCTCGCTCAAAGGTTTACAGCAACTCTTAGCCAGGGTGTTGTACTAAAATATGTCGTTACTCAGTTGTGTTTCCTTCTCTCTCTCGCTCTCTTTCTCACTCTTGTTCTCTATTTGTTGTTAGTTTTAGTTTAGCCACGTGCTCTACTGCACCGGCAACGGTGTTTCTATTCGTCACTAAACTCGTCAAGTGTAAATAAACAAACAGAGAAAAAGCGGGAGCTCGATGAAGCCAAAACCACGTGTTCTTGGCAAAACAAAGCCCTTAGTTATTAGCGATATGTAAACAAAAGTCCCTGGCAGAGCGTGCAAGAGAGAGAAAGTGAGAGAATTGTATTTCCTTGAAAACCTACGCAATAAAACTTTTATTGGTCTAGTTTTGTGGAGCTGGGTGAGAATAATTTGGCTGAAGCGTTACCTACAGTGAAACATCGATGAAAAAAACGCCGCATCTCTTTTATTATATTACACGATTTTATTATATAGTCAGAATATTGAGACTATTTTAAAATAGTCATAAAATCTTACCTAAAAATGAAAAAAAATTACATGCCTCCTTGGGAGGTGAAAACCCGCAGGCTACAATTCTAAATTCGATATTTTTTGTATTAGTTTATCTATTGGGCATCTACTAGGACAAGAAACAACTCATTTAGAGAATCTGAATCTCGGATTACACTACATGTCAACAATCACCTGGTCTGATCGTCATGCGAGCACTGCTTCGACTTTCTAGGAGCTAAACATTGCACAAAAATAGGTTTGAACCACTTGAAGAAGGTTGGATACACAAGGACGCTAGACGCATGGGTACCACATATATGAAAAGTGTTTCATCAGGACAAGTCCACACATATCGAAAGTTTCTCGCCAGAAGTTGTGAGGACTAGTTTGGGAAGTTCTTAAGAAATCCTTATGGTCGCGTTCTTTGAACAAGTTTTTGATTGTCTCAATTTTTCGCTAAAAGGACAAGGGTTTCTATGAGAGTGGCTTAAATAAAGCCTTCATATAATACGTTCTAGTACTTAATTTTCAAAATTTAATGCGGGAAGTTTCTTCTTCCCGACAACCACGGAGCAGTCCTAATTCGAGGAGTAAGATTCCGACATTGAAAAAATGATCTCAACTCTATGAACTTGTATAAGTTTCAATACCCAAGGATATATATGCAGTTTTTTACAAGATACATTTTAGAAATGAAAAAAGGAATGCGGAAATTTAATTAACTCACGAAAGCTTCTTTCATCGTTTATCAAAAATCACAACAGAGAAATTTTAATAAGTGAAGGAATATTTTGCAATGTCGATTGTTTGAAGCACCAACGCATACTTCCGCATATACTCAAATATAAATAAATATGTACATAACTAAATATGTAATATGAACTTCACTTTCATTTCACTTTTCTATATTTGCTGGAATTTAGAAACTTTTTCATCGAGATAAGAAATGAAAGTGAATTCCATGGGCGGAAGGACATGTGAAGAAATGAATAACAGCATACGTGAATAAAGAGAATGTGCTGCAAAGGGGAACATATGCACATAAAGATGCTTATATGTCAATACTTACGAGTATGTGTGTATATATTTCATTAAAAAAATATTGTACTCGCATAATCGCGTGAGTCCTTCGTCATTTCTCTGCATGTGTATGAGTTGCAAGTGTTTGTAATTCAAATAAAACTAATTGAAATGTTGAGATTAGTCCAAATGTCAGTATGAGTGCCGTTAAACAGCAACTCAGCTACCCATCTGCACATATACATATACACAAGCGGCTTGTATCCTTACGGGTTCTGTGCTGAGCAATATATTCAGCAGCTATCTGTGTATCTATTGTGTTTCACTCTGTTGCTTTTATTATAATTAACTTTGCTTCCAAAAGATTTAATTAGCTTCTCTACAATTGTTTCATGTATGTTTCCCAACGAAAGTGCAACAGAGAAATGCATGTTAATGTGAGTAATAAATAAAAAAGATATTTTGAAAAGTTGTAACCAAATTTGGAGGTCAAATAAAATGTATTTTTTCAATTCGTTTTTACTATTCATGGATGAAAAGAACAAAATGAGTCTTAAAAGCTCATCCAAGTTTTCTTGAGAAAGTGAAAGACGTGGGGGGAATCTAAGGCTGAAAGCAGTTTTAAAACATAGAGGAGAAAGAGAAGAGAGCATCGGCATATAGTCAAATCTATTTGTTTATAAAGTTTTCGTGAGGTGCATGTTACTGATAGAAATCGATCAACGGGTGACTCTCGGCATCGTCTGCTGCACACTAGGAACTGCTTTAACGCTGTGGCTTAAAACCATGTGTAGCTTGTAAAGCCTTGCAAAAGCAGCTGCAGCTTCGCTCCTTGAGCCTTTCGATTTCATTCACAGTTTCTGTCAGCTCATCGCGATGTCATCTCTGTCTGTGGCGTCGATTTAGAATGATGGAAGAACTAGTCGAAACAGCAACTTTTTTTAGACAAGCGATTCTTGAGCCAACTCAGCGAACGCTGTCTTAGCGGTTTTGAGTAAGTCAGGAAGATACTTTTTATCCAAAAATAATATATATAAATATAAGTGAAATGTAAAAAATAAAAAAAAATAAAAAAATAAAATAATAAAAAATAACATAAACAAAAATCTAATGCCAGAAATTTAAATAAAGTGAAATAAAACGAAATGCTCTTTTCGATTTTCTCGCTTCTTGGTGTATACAATATTATTACAGAGAATGACCCACAAAAACTTACAAAAAACCACAAAACAGGCCACAACATATTTGTGTATATTTGATTTTTGTTTTCAGTTTCTTTTGCTACTTATTTAGTATTCTCTTTTCGCACTGGTTAACCGCAATTATATGAGGGCTGCTGTGACCCAGTGGACTTGTTTGAAGAATTGGTCAACCAAGCTATTTGCGCAATATAAATGCATGTGTAGTTAGTTTTATATCGAGCACCAGGAGGGGGTTGAGACGATTCTTCTTACGCCTTATATCTTCTGCTTTTTTCTTTTTGGAATTATTCCCAAAGGAATTGCTTGCAGTTACCTAAGGTTAAAGCTTTTAAAAGTCTGACTGACAACTGTCAACTGTTGGCTGACAGTTGCCTGCTGGCCTTTCGTTGCTTGCAACGGTGCTCAGTGCTTGCTGAGTGGCAGGCAAGGTTGGTGGTTGTTGCTTATTTGCTATTTGCTGAGGAAATGCTGCATTGGTCATGAACACGTCTCTGGAGAGCAAAGAAAAGGGAAAGTGGCCACAAAAAGTTCCAAGTAAAGTGAAGAAGTAAAATGCAAGGATAACACTGCTTGTCCGGGCTGGGGTGGCGCTATGCAGGAGCTTGTTTTCTACAGAATGCATTAGTGGTGCGTTGAACATTTTTTTTACGAGCCAAAATGTCCTGGCTTAGTCCTCCGAAGAGCGTCTCTGGTGGTTATTTGTAGTTACATATTGCGTGTTTGACATTGAGTTGGTATAAATTTAATCTCATTGCTTCTTACATATGCGAGGAAGAAACTTATGTCAGTAATAAAGAAAGTTTCTCATAAAAGCTATAACCTCGTTTCAGACGTATGTTGAAGAATTCTTCCGTTTTTTGATTGGCTCAGATCTAAAACTTAATTTTCTTCTCGTCAGTATTGTAAGACTTAATCATTGCCTGAATTTCAGAACTTTAGCTACATTACCCCATAAGACACTTCGCAGACACTAATTAACTGAATTGTATTGTGCAAAGCTCCGTACTTGAGCCTTGTGCTTGTTATTATTTACAATAATTTCATCATCATTCGTTGCCACCTCAACACTTTGACAGTCGCTTGGATAAAGTTTTGAAGGTTAGAAAGTCACTCACACAGCAAGCATGAAAGCACACTCTGTTATTAAAAAACTTCATTAATTGTAACATATTTTGTTGACATTTTGAATATCTTTATTTATGCTGCTTCAAAAAGAGCTTGGCAAGCAATAATCATTTATTAACTCGGAGTGCCATGTTTTTGAAAATTAAATGTAAATTGAGAAATTTTTACACATTTTGATTAGTGGAAATTTTGGAATTGGTAGATGGAATGTCCTTGCAATATATTCCCCCGCTCTCACACTCTCACGCTCTCATACATTTACCTCTCGTGATGACAAAGGGCCGAGCTTGTTGAAAGCTAAACTCATGCTGCTAAGCAAGAATTACGCGTTGCCAACTGCTTGAAATGTAGTGAAGCAAATGAAAATGAAATAAAATGCAATGAAATTGATATTAACGACGGTAAGCAGGGGAGGGAGCTTATATTAAGCGAGAGTACTCGAGCACGGCGCACAATTTTATTGCTTTTTGCTGTTGTTTCCCTGTAGCGGAAGGATATTTCACTGGTTCTTACCTCAAATTGCCTTGCAAAGTCCTTCTGTTGGGTGGTTGGCGGTGGCACGCTCGATTGGGTGGGATCCCAAACAAATAACTCATTGTCAGGCGCAATGAAATCAGAAACAGCAGTAGTGTCTGCAACAAC